GGCGAGGAGGGAAGAGTAATAACTGTGTCCTTGGGTTACCGTCATGTCCCCTTTCAGGAGGCTCGATCAGGGCAAGCTGTTCTGAGAGACACATATGCTTGAGGCAGGTAAACTGGAAACCGCAAGCCTGTATCACGGCCTTGTGAGCTGGCCACATTGACATGCAGAACAAGGAATTGGAGGCTGGGCCCCGGGGGCCAGGGAAGGCCTGCTACCAGCAATTCTCTTTAATTTCACAATATTTTTTTAATTTCTTTTTTTAAAAAAATTTTTTAGTTGCCAATGGACCTTTATTTTATTTATTGATACGTGGTGCTGAGGATCGAACCCGGTGCCTCACAGGTGCTAGGCAAGCGCTCTGACACTGAGCCACCACCCCAGCCCTTTTTTTAATTTCTTGAAGGATATTTTGACTTAGAGAAGTTTCAGTTAACCAGATGCCTGAAAATGTGTCTCAGATTCTAAAACTAGAAATAATTGGGGAAAATGGAATTTATAAGGTCTTGGGAATGAATGACAAATATTTGATTCCAACAGTAATGTAATATTGTCTTCAAAGGAAGATGAAAAATATTGTGTACACGTCAAGTAGTTTTGTTGAGATTGTTTTTTCCAATAGAATACCTTTCTAGTTCACTTTCCAGCTTTGAAGGAAAGACTGAAAAGGGTTCATATCAACCAACAGTGTTGCTTTGTTAATCGTGTTTTGCAAGATGCAAATATTTGTTGAGATGTTAATAATTAGAAACTGTTTTTTGATAGTGACCCCTTCTGTTATGAGCTTAATTAAAATGGAATTTTGAATGATTGCAGATTCTATTATTAACAAAAGGCCAAAGACTTATTGAACAAACTAACTGGGCTTTTCATAATGAATTGTCAAGATACAGATTACAAATGCTGCCTAATAGTGCATAATAATGTTCATATTTGAGGAAATACTGTTCCTTCTTGAAACTGTTACTTTTAATTATTTAATCATTATCTGTCTTCTCATACATTCTATGTTTTATAAATAAAATGATACTAATTTCAAGATTAAGCACAATGAGTGGCATGCTATAGTATTTCAATAAGTGTTGGTTGAGTTAGTAAACCAACCTTTTTGGGGGGAGGGTACAGAAATTAAACTCAGGGATACTTTACCACAGAGCACCATCCCTAGCCCTTGTTATTTTTTATTTTGAGACAGGGTCTCACCAAATGCTTAGGACCTCACTAAATTGCTGAGGCTGACCTTGAACTGGTGATCTTCTTGCCTCAACCTCCCAAGTCATGGGATTACAGGCATGTACCACTGTGCCCAGCAGTGATTTAATTTTTATATGGGAAAATTAGCCAATTTGGAAAATTTTGCTAAATAATACATCAATTTTTCTATTAGTCAAACTTCAATTAGTATAATTAAGATAGGACTAGAAGATCCTGATGGCAGGCTAGAGGGAGATGGCATTCTTTGTAGCTTTGTGACCTGGGATTCAAGCAGTGGAAATACTGTTTGTCTGCAAGTTTTTAGAGGACCTCCAACAGCTGCTCTCACACAAATCATGTCATAAGCAAATAGACAATTTGAGTTCTTTTTTTTTTATCTGTATTCCTTTCATTTCTTTCATCTAATTGCTCTAGATAGAGTTTTATGAACTATGTTAAATAAAAGTGGTGGAAGAGGGAATCCTTGTCTTGTTCCAGGTTTTAGAGGGAATGCTTTCATTTTTTCTCCATTTAGAATGAGAAAAAGCCTTGGGCTTAGCATATACAACTTTTACAATGTTGAGATGTGTTCCTATTATCTCTAGTTTTTCCAGTGTTTTGAACATGAAGGGTGCTGCATTTTGTTGAATGTTCTTTTCTGCATCTATTAAGATGGTCATATGATTTCTATCTTTAAGTCTATTGATGTGATGAATTACATTTATTGATTTCCATAAGTTGAACCAATCTTGCATCCCTAGGATGAATCTCATTTGATGGTGGTGCTCTATCACTTTATTTTTTATTTATTTATTTTTAAAGAGAGAGTGTGAGAGAGAGGGAGAGAGAATTTTTCAATATTTATTTTCTAGTTTTCGGTGGACACAACATGTTTGTTTGTATGTGGTGCTGAGGATCAAACCCGGGTCGCACGCACGCCAGGCAAGCACGCTACCGCTTGAGCCACATCCCCAGCCCCTCTATCACTTTAATATGTTTTTGTATTTTATTTGCCAGAATTTTACTGAGAATTTTTGCATGTATGTTCATTAGAGATATTGGTCTGAAGTTTTCTTTATTTCATGTGTCTTTATCTGGTTTTCAAATTGGTGATATTGGCCTCATAGAATGAGTTTGGAAGTGTTCCCTCTTTTTATATTTCATGGGATAATTTGAAGAGTATTGGTATTAGTTCTTCTTTGACAGTTTTCTAAAACTCAGCAGTGTATCCATCTGGTCCTAGGCTTTACTTGGTTGTAGTCTTCTGATGGTGTCTTTTGTTTCATTGTTCAAAATTGATCTGTTTAACTTGTGTATATCATTCTGATTCAGTTTGGGTAAATCATCTGATTTTAGAAATTTGTCTATGTCTTTGATGTCTTCAGGGTATGAACACTATCACCAGCCACAACACTGCACACCATAGAACTGTATTTATTGGAGTACAATTTTTCAAAATAATTTCTAATTATTTTCTGCATTTCTGTAGTGTTCATCATGACAGCCTGCACCTGGGGACACAGGACAGGGTATGAAGACTATCACCAGCCACAACACTGCACACCACAGAACTGTATTAAAAAACAGCATACTACAGAGACGCAGTCACATCAATGTTTATAGCAACACAATTCACAATAGCTAAATTATGGGACCAAACTAGATGCCCTTCAATTGAAGAATGGATAAAGAAACTGTGATATACATACACAATGGAATATTACTCATGATTAAAAGAGCATACAATCATTGTATTTGCAGGTAAATGGATGGAGTCGAAGAATATCATGCTAAGTGAAGTAAACCAATCCCCAAAACCCAAATAGCGAATGTTTTCTCTGATATGTGCATGCTGATTCACAATGAAGGCTGTGGGTTAGGGGGAGCATGAGAGGAATGAAGGAACTTTAGATAGGGCAAAGGGGAGGGAAGGAAAGGGAGTGGGCATAGGGGTAGGAAAGCTGGTGGAATGAGTTGAACATCATTATTCTAAGTACATATATGAAGACATAAATGATGTGACTCTATGTACAAGCAGAGAAAAAATTGTGCTCTACATGTGTATTATGAATTGAAATGCATTCTGCTGTCATGTATAAAAAATCAAAATAAATAAATAAATTTTAAAAAAGATGGGAAAAAAACTAATTTAACAAGCAGCTATTTTAATCATTAGTTTCCACCTTCTCTCTCCAACAAAATTTTGTTGTAGAGGTAATTTACATATGTCTTTTGAGAGCTATACAGCAATAACAAAGTTTCCATGAAAAACAGAAGAAAAAAATAGCCAAAGGTCTAGAAATTAACAAATTACATAAGCGATCCTCAAAATATTTATGTGAAGCACAAATCAAATTAGATATTATATATTATATATTGAGAAGACTCTTGTCCCAATGTTTGACACTAGATAGTTATTTAAAGCCCTATATTCTTTATTAGTAAAACAGATAAAATACATCTGGGTGCTCCAAGATTGAAGGGGATAATTATTTCACCAGCTGTTGCACATTATCAATAATTTCATTCTAACTTGCTGTATATGCTGCTATAGGGTTAGGGAGGGACCAACTTATTTTTTAAAGAAAATATTCATGGAAAGGTGTTTGTCTCTGAAATAAAAAAAAAAAACACCAGAAGAATCACTTGAGGAATGTGTAAGGGGCCAGTAGCTGAAGGAGCTGAGATTAGCCGGGCTTTAAACAATATATAAATATTCTAAAAAAGCAATTAGTTCAATAAAGATGTTTATTTTAAAGTTAACTTTTAGGGATTTTACAAAAGTTCTAAGAGGAAAAAAAACATTAGATATATCAGCCAACAATGACACTGAGGAGAAATAAATCTTTTGCTTGTAATAACTTGTTAAAAACGAAGAAAGATGCCTTGTCTAAGGCCATTAGAACTGCAGACAATGCAGCAAAGGTAGGGCATAGTCCTGGAGGTACCATCTCCTTCCAATCCCACGCAAAAATAAGAAAATGATTTTGCTTACATATGAGTAGCCCGCCCCTTGTAAATTTCTAAAATTTCCCTCTGGGTGAGATGGATGGATGCAGGAGTTCTGTTTGCAAATCTTCTAAACACCTTTAAAGAAAATGTATAATAAGTGTAAGGGAAGGATGAGGGCTGGAGCAGTGACATTTGCTCAAAACTCACTGACTGTAATAATGCAAGATCCTTTGAATGGGTAACTGTATTAACTTGAATCTATAACATTCCAGTGAGGAATGTGAAAACCTCAGTTAGAGAGGAATTACCCGAATTTGGAGACTTGTTCATGTGAGAGGGTGGAAAAAAAGAATTTCATTCTCATTTTGGTGTTGATGTATGGTTGAGACATTAGTGAGTTGCAGTGGAGCAATCAGGATCTGGATTATTCCCAAGTTTGACAAGTTGGAAATTGGGTCCGAGAATCTGGAACCGGAGCAATCAAAAAGAAATGAAAAATAACGCTCAAATACATTTTGCAGCCGAGATTCCGAAATTCCTGGGATGGGATTGGCGAAGAAGCAGTGCTTTAGTCTTTTAGGCAGCAGGAACATTTTCCGCAGCTGCCACATCCGACTTTGCCCGGATACTGCAGGATCCATGGAATGCAAGTTGCAGGCCAACAGGAAGAGTGCCCCCTCCCTCTGCAGGGCTTCCTCTCTCCCCGCCAGGGTTCCTGGGGACTTCAGGGGCCAGAAGGAGCTGGGGGCTCGCTCCTGTTCGTTAGTCTCTGGACCCACTGGCAGGGCTGAGCCGCCTTTTGGAAGGTCAGCTGCGGTCAGCGGCAGTGAAAGCTGCCTGTGAGGTCACGGCTTTCAAGGCTCTCGCTCTCCGCTCTTCTGTAGCCCCGAGCTTTTGCGAGGGCTGCTGGCGCCCAGATCTCAGAACAGAAGCCATGGCGAAGTCCAGGGGCCGTCTGTACCTTTGGATGTCTTTGATTGCCGTGCTGGCATCTTTTCTGATGGGCTTTCTGGTGGGTGAGTGTACAATCAAGTCTCTCTGCGGAGGTGAAGGGAGGAAGCCTGTAGCTGGAGCGAGTGGGTTGTCCCAGGCCAGTGTCTAGTTCGGCTCAGGACATGGCTAACTCCATAAACTGCACCCAAACTAGAAACCGAACAGAATGTATTTGTGGCCGCAATAAGAAAAAAATAAAATAAAATAAATAAACTCACTGAGTTCAGGCTTTTATTGTGGGCTTTGAAAAGAGAATTTAGGGCTGTCCCTGTTTATAGGGATGAAAAATTTATTTGCATTTCCAAGTAATAGTAATGAGTCAAAATTATTAGCTAATATTGACTAAGCACTGCAAAGAACTTTTTTCTTATCGTTTAAATACATAAATTTTGGAAAACTCCCTGTGTGTCAAGAACTGGTACAAATTAGATCCCTTGGCTAGAATAAGAGAAAGGCCTTAACTCAGAGATGCAAACATGTAAGAAAGGAAAGCACATCTCTCTAGTAAAA